GATGGTAATACTATTTAAATATTAACTTTTGAGGTTGATTATTTATTGACTCAGTGTAATTGCTAAGTTCCGTTACATATTTTACGCTTTTTAAAAAAATGTCTTTAACACAGCTGACTGAAGTCTATTCTAGTCTTCACTATGCCAAATGGGATTCTATCGAAAATCTATGCTACTACGTGTATTTACCTTTAGGGGCAAACTTTAACAGACTTCCGACAAGTGGAATCTTAAAAATCTTATCATCACATCTCATTGGACTAGTCTAGTTGTTTTTATTCATATAATTGCTCACTTTAGCATAGTATTTATCGACTCCCTATCACTTTATTCGTTGGCAAAAATTACAGAACTAATAGTGTACATCTATTTTTCCTGACAATTCCATATTTTTTCCGTTCTTTCAGATTTTGGCTGTAAACATATTGGGACGGTTTCTAATAAATGCGGATAAGAACATCCGTTACGTGGCACTCAGCACTCTGCAGCGTGTGGTCCATGCTGACTATAAAGCTGTTCAACGGCATAGATCTACAATTATTGATTGTCTTAAAGATCCAGACATTTCTATTCAACGGTATGTACTACATATCAATTAATGTCGAGGTATTTAGTTATTGACGAATGAGGTTCCTATTAGGAATTAAAAAACAGGCTTAATTTTTTATGCATCTTATCGTATTCCTTAGGTTCTGACGGGAAAATCAGAATTTGCCAGCTTATCCTAGTAAGCCGTAAACAATAAACAATTCGAATCTTGAATTATAATTATATCACCCTATGACAAGGGACCGATAGCTGAATTTTCCTACGTTGTAGACCTTATGTTTTCATTGATTTTCTCTTAGCCTTGATTACTAAAAGGTATTCTCATCTAAGGCAGATAGCTGTTTCATTCTTGCCTGTATCTCATTAGTACTTTCAAATGTTACCACTATACCACACTGCCACGAGCGCTCGTGGGTTAAAGGGCAAATGTGAACTCAAGGCAAGCCAGTCCTTTACAAAATTATTTTTGTTTGGTGAGATTTTTGATGAAGCAAACTTATATTTACTATTAAACTCGACTGCATTACTTATATTCGGACTGAGCTAGTTTCTGAACTAACAGCAGGTCTTGAATAAGAGCTGCTGAACAGTTTTGAAATCCCTATTGTCCTACTACTTTTACCTATCACATATTCTCTTATCTCACTCTTCACTATAACAACTTCTAATATGCTTATTTTTGCTTAGTCCATGGGTGCGTCCCTTTGAATTTAGTGATCTTATTCACATTCCCCGTTGATTACCTCATCTCTCCCGCATTTTACTGTAAATGCTTATTCACCTTGTCTTTTTCAGTCTGAAATCTACTTCATTCAGAGCCTCCTTCGTCCCCTGAAAAAATTCGTTTTTATCTCCAAGTTTCAGTCATTATATTCATTCACCACTTATCTATGCTAGTCGAGGTGTTATTTTTTCTTGATAAGCCTCATGCGTTTTTGGTATGAATACTCCAGCTTAATTGAGCAGGCCGCCTG